AGAGGCAGTTGATTCAAGGCATATTGAAGGAAAAATTTATAGATGTTCTTGAATTAAATTTTAGTAGCACAAATAAGGTTACCTTTTCAAGCTCCTTGTTCGACATCCCCACCCATCTTAAGTTCTCAGCCATTCTCTCTGATGCGAAAACTTTGTCCTTTTCTTCAATTTTGATGGACCTATGATTCGGTTCATCTCTTAAGTTGTCCGTATATTTGAAGGAATCCATACCATGTATTTGGTTATTGTGGGGCTGAAAGGAAAAATCCTCAGCCGAAGCATACATTCCGCCCCATGCATCTTGATTTTGAAGTTCATGAGAAGCTTGAGCAACTGAAAGAATTTCCTCCAATATATCTGTATGTTGGTTTGTATTTTCATGAAAAGCATTGGAATGTGACAAACCAGACTGTGGGAAATCCTGAACCTCCAATGGTGGCAATGTAAAATGATGTTGAAACCTTGCACTCTCTATTGCCAAATCGACCTGAAAAACATAAATTTGAACAAATTGTATAGACGAAGATATATACGAGTAGTTGAAAAGGTTTCGCATGTTTTTGCCAAATTCTAAAAGCCAATTGTCATACAAGGGCTCATACTATGCTAGATTTGAGATTCAATCTCTTAAGATGAACGCATGCAAGGTCTCACATGGCCACATTCTGCTTATGGATGTAAAATCGTATAGGTTTTGTGTTAAAGTTACGCCCTACTATTTATGAAAGTTGTGCACGTGTCAGGATTTTTTGATAAAAAATAAATCTTGTCTAATTTATATAGGTAAACACGTCTCCTCTATAGGAGCTATTAAATGAATGATTAGGAAGAATTATTTACCAGTAAGGCTGAAACTTCTTACCTTTGAGGGTGTATATGATGTTGGTGCACAATGGGAATATGGACTATTAATGAAACCAAATGCCTCTTCTGATAAGTACTGTGTCCATCTTCCATCATCTGGTTCATTTATATTCATCTGAGAGGCATTGGTGGCACTGGATGAGCAGGTTCCTGATGCCATTGGATAGTCTGAGCTATCTAAATCATCACATTTCCCTTGAGAATACAAGTCGATGCTGGAGGATCGTTCAGTAGCTGTGGTCAAATATTTGTCCCCAATTTTCGGGCCATTCAAGCTCTTCTTGAATACACGGCAAAGTGCATAAGCATCCTGGAGAAGTCACTCAAGAAACCATTTAGTTTTTTGACATATATAATAATTGAGAAACATTGAAATTCACAAGGCAAATATTTATAGGTTCATTGTTAGAAAGAAAGACTATATATATAGGATTATAAATAAATTATCACTGGGATCCAGAAAATATCACTGGAGACAGCAAAAATCCTTAACAAGGATAAAAGGTTATAATGTGAGATAAAGTAAGAAAACAAGATTGAACCTGTAAGCCGTTGGCATTTTCACATTCCCTTTCATCTAATCGATATTCGTGCATAATCCAATCAGTTCGAGTTCCATGAGGTGCTCTACCTCCGTAGTAAACTAGGGTTTTCTTCATCCCAACAGCCCTCATCTGTGAATTCACCTTTCTATCCTTTCCAGTGGCCTTCCAGTAGCCAGCTTTTGTTGCGCGATTAGTCCTTGACCCATTTGGATACTTACGGTCTCGAGGGCTAAAGAAAAACCACTCGAGATCTTTGCTTGGCAACAATGACTTCCCTATACAATTAAAATTTTCAGTCATCAGTCGTGTTGTTATATGATCATTGAACAAAACACATACAGAAAAGAAATCCAGAATTGAATAAATCCGAACTAAAAAGACAATACAGAAATGAGCTGACGAGAAGTAAATGAAGCTGATTTTTTCTTGACGATTTCACATCTGAGTATCAGAAAAAGAGAAAGGTTGGGTAATATATACGAAAAACAATGCAATCATATGCTTTTCTTTGCTTTTTGACTGCATCTTGATCTTTGTGATGAAATCCAGGGCATCAAAAGATGTAGGGACTATCAACTATGTAATAATGATCTTTATCTTAAAGGAAAAGTGAGATCATATATGATATTATTAACTGATAAAGTGTGTTCAATATGTATAAATAGCTTATATTCATGGTTATATTATATAGTTCATTGTTCATGCAAAAGAAGGCTAGCACGCACAAGGAATCTTAATTTGCAGCTTCCAATTTTCACATCGTTAATACATCGCAGAATACTGTTAATCACGTAATTTATAACCATAATTCAAGAATCTCCCATATAATTTGTTTTTCATTAGAAAAAGAGGTCTGTGATTAATTCTTTGAGACAATATTTTACTGCTTATTTAGGGAATCAGAAAACACTAATTTTTCTTATAACAAATGAGAAAAAAAAAATGGAACCAGATTTTTTAAAAAAAAAAAGAAAACACTAATTTCTAATTGTTGCAGATTATGGCAAATAAAAGGCTGTATAATCAGGTTGAATGGTCTGATAATATGACTAAGAAGAAAGGATTACTGTGTCATGCCAATATTTCGTCTAAAGCTACTAGAAATTATGCCAATCAATTTTTTATACCTTCCTTCATCCTCACTTTGTTTTTATTCATATGGCATCTCTAATTAGACTAATCATTTTTCAATAACTATCCAATAATAAAAATTCAAGATATGGATTAAAAAAGAAGAATACCTGGCAGGTCCCATGGCTCACACTTATAGAGATCAACTTCAGGAATGATTTCAAGCTCAATCCTATGTCCATTGATCTTTCTCTTTAGATAATAAGCCACAAGTTCCTCATCAGTTGGATGAAAACGGAAACCCGGAGGCAATGAAACAGGTGCCATCTTCCTTTGAAATCCGAAACCCTCGAAAAATAGAATAACAATTGACACCACCCTCCTTTGGAGTGCAACTGCAAAAGATTCATGCAAAAACCCTGAAACAAATTAGTTGATTAAAACCAACAATATCACAGATACATGCATTCTTGAAAGAGAGGAAGAGAAAGAGAGAGATCTTACAAGATCCAAAGAAGGGAAAGAGAGAAGCAAAAGAAAGAGGGAGATTGAGAACTATTGTTGTATTGATATATAAGAGAACAAAAAGAGATGCGAAAAGCAAATTCGAGGCTCCCAACCCCACACACTTTTATCTTTATATTAATTTTTTCCAATCAAATGTCGCTTTATTAATCGTTCTTCTCAAGCTTTGTACTCTCTCTAGAATTCTCTCTCTCTCTCTAAATTCTTTCTTCTCAAGAAACACTATAGGTGATCATAATATAGATACATAATCTCTCTCTCTCTCTCTCTAATTATCCCATGCTTCGAATTTGTCCTTTCTTGGAATCTGAGCTTGCCGCTTCCTCATGGTAATATGTCATCAGATGCATTTTGTGTCTCTGTTTAAAGAATCATGTCTGCCAATGAAAATCTCTATTGGGAAACGAATTGCGGCTTTCTTAACTGTCAACTGAAAAGAATGTTCCTTTCACATGCTAAGTATGCCTTCATTTGTATTAACAAATGTGCTAACATAATTAATACCAAGCTCATCATCTCTTTCAATAATCTTTGTTTTTCTAGGTCACGTAGGGTTTCATAATTGAGGTCATAATATTACCCATGTATTTGGACATGGACCGCCCATTGAACCGGAAAAAAAAAAAAATAATTTAAATGGTCATGAGTAATATAAGTTTAATCAAGTACACCATGATGTGGTTCAAAATTTTGATTACTTCAAACTATTAAAGTGTGTCATTGGGACAGTCGATATCGATAGAAGATGCTGAAGTTCTAGCTCTACGGGATGGATTGGTTCTAGTTAAGGAATGTGGACAGCAGATTGAATCAGACAAACTGACTCATTGCGGGTTGCAAAGCTTAAAGTCGGACTTTTGTTCTACCCCCAAACGTTTCTTCTTTATTTGATATTTTAGCACTTTTTAGGGATGTGAGTCGTGGCCCATGTTGCTTTGTTTCTAGAGGTGAAAATAGAGAGGTTCTTAAACTTGCTTTTTGCTAATTCGATTCTAGTTGTATGCACAACTTGATAGATTGCATTCAACCTTTTGTTTCGTCTGCTATTCGATCTCTAAGATATGAATTAATGAAATATTTGTTTTTTGTTTAAAAAGACGTAAAAAAGAGTGAGATCTTGTCAAGCATGAATTGAAGAAAAGTAATTCACTCTTGGATAAGGTGCACGAAGAGTATTCTTATGGGTTTCATTTCAAAAAATGTGTAAATATGGGATTAGCCGTGTTAATGAAAGAAAATCCCTTCACTAGCTTGACTACCTTCAATGCTCGCTGTTTTTTATTTTGTTTCCTTTCAATTTCAATAATGTTATTCATAGTTAGTTACTACAATAGTCATCCTATATGTGGTAGCTTTATATTTGAGGCATAGCATTACTCAATTTACGGAATTTGTGACGAATTTCTAAAATTTCAGATTTTTTCTAGAAGGAAATGCATATGAACTGTACATAAAAGGCGAGTTAAATATGTATACAGTTAATTTCTAAACATAAGCTTTAAATTGGGTCGTCATTCATTAATTATATTCATGATAGCAGTACTGGGATACCATTATTTTCATTTCTTGATGGTAATTGCTCAACATCAATAGCATTTTGCATATTTTTGTTTAATTATTAATAATTAGTCCGCATTTATATGGTGGGTACGTTTATTTGGAATTATATTGTCCATGTTAAGCTTGCGAAATTCAAGTTCTTTTGGCAGAATTAATATAAAATAAATTTTTACTCACTAGTTAATAATTTTTAGATAAAGAGATGTTCTTATGCGATAAAAAATTGAAATAATCTGACATCATGTGAGAAATTATAAATCAAATGTAACTAAGACATAAAAATTTAAAGAAAAGAAGAGTTCGTGTAACTTCTATGCTAAAGAATTATAAAGAGATGGATTATATACTTATGGGGTTACGGAAAAAAATGTTCTAATTAGTAATTATGTACAGAATTACATTACTATTTAATTAATAATCAGAAAAAATCTGAAAAATGTTAGAGATATCATGAAAATCCTTCTTATTCTTTCACTAATTATCCAAGAATTTTTTCGTCCGGTTTGAAAACTCAGTCGGAGGAAAAAGGAAAAGCAATAATAAGATCATGATATACGTACCTACTTGCAAACATAAAAGAATAAAGGTCTTATTTTTTTATTATATTAGGATAAAACAAGAGATCCTTTCTGCCTTTAGATGTAATAATTATTATAACTCAGTTTTATTTTTTGCATTCATACTAGAGAAGGATATCATTGGGGCTTCCTTTCGGCAAGCATATCCATTTGTGGTTGCAATGCACAAATAAAGCCAATATAGACAAATACCAAAGTTTTATTAAGATCCTCCAATATATATATATATATATATATATATATATATATATATATATATATATATATACACACACA